AGCAATTGTTGTACTTTTAATTTAATAATTCTTCACACGTGTAATTATTTTATTCTCTTACATTGCTGATGTTGAGGGCATTTGCTTTGGACTGCAGCAGTACAGGAGTATCTGAAGGTATGGAAATCTGTGTCTTATCTTTATCCCAGGCTTCACGATACAGATGCTAAGGAGAAAGGAAGCATAATGAAAATTCACTGTGGTCTGAACACTGAAAAAAGCCACCACCTACAGGAATTCTTTGGCAATTCTGATTTGCAATACTTTCCAATTACTTACTCCCACCAAAGAAATTCTAGTCTGTACCACAAAGAAAAGAGATACCATCAAATGAATGGAAGGTAAGTGAAAGGCAAGCTTACATCACTGATCTGCAAAGCATTGATCTTAGCCTGGACAACATCTGGTGTGTCAGTAATGCTTGTGAATTTCATCTCATCCGGCCGTGTGCGGTACAACCTCTCGTTCAGGAGTTCCTGGGCTTTCTTTGCTTTCACCACATCCACAGAACCTTCTGTCACCCAGCCAATGCCTCGTAACCATTCCAGGTCTGACTTGTACACATTCTACAAATAAACCAAGGGTTACTGACGTTGCAGAGACAACTCTATGTGCAGAAAGGTTTCATACAAGGCTTTCCCCAAGCTCTGTCTTTTGCGGTTACACAGCAAGCACTCAATGAGACTGGGGTGTACCAGGTCCTTCCCACACACAGCTAAACCCCTGATTTGCACTGCAACAAAGATACTTTTAAAGGTACTTGCTGCATCCAAAGTAGTCACATGATCTGCAAGCAGTCTGCAAGCAAAGTGCAAGCAAACATTCCACAGCAGACCCAAAAAACAAGGCCTCCTTATGAGCTGCCTGGAATATTTCTGGCACCCAAGCTGAGAACACTATAGATTTGGAAAGGATCATCCAGGTGAATCAAAATAAACACACCAAGACTGACTACAGGCTCATGAATGTGCATTTGAAAGGATATTTGCACAGTCACTAACAAATAGAGCCTCACACACCGGTTATAAAGCTTTCCTACTGCTGACTCTCACTCACATCACTCTGTAGGTCGTAGGCCTTCCTTGCATGGATCACGTCATTCTGGTCAGGAAGACACGTCCACTGGTGAAGGTAATGGCGGTAGTCAACGTCACTGACTAGTGTCTGGCACTCTTTGGCTGCCTGCACTGACATCGCATCGACTGGTATGTGGATCTGGGCCTTTGAGTCATGGTACGCCTTCCTGTAAATTCGGTCATTCTGCAGCAACATGGCACGCGCAGCCCACGACAGTTTGGGATCTTCCTTGGCAGTTCGGCACCCGATGTAGTGCCCTTTCTGCTTCTCGTGCGTTTCTTTGTACTTGTACTAAGAAATGCAAAAAGAAATATTAAAAGTAATTGTGAATCTGGGATGAATTTCCCATAATTTCATATTGCTACTGATCACAAATATATTTTTTATGTTACGTGATATGCTCATATAGAGTTTAGAAATGCTAACACATTCTTGCTCCACAGCTTTTCTTTATTCTCATTGTTGTTCATTATTTTCTAATACCCACTTAAAGTCAGGATTTATAATTCGATGTTCATTTTGGAAACTGTTGTCCATTTTCTTTCTGCAGCGAATTCTTTGCTAGTTGACTTTCAAGATGAATCTGATATACCATAGTATTTTATGTTATACATAGCTTATTAGTTCATTCTTGTTTCTCAAGCTAACTGAAAATAAATGTAAAGGGAAAACATACATCACTCGCAATATCTCTTGATGCCTTTGCACTTCGGATTGGAATTGCATCAGCTCTCATGTCATAACCCTTCTTTTTGGCCTCTTCCCAGGCTTGTACATAAAGTTTCTACGCAAGAAAAAAAGGACAGAAAATGGGTACTCAATATTCTGAAAGATGGAATTTCTACATTTTATAATTTTTTCTTAAAATTTTAATGAATGCATATTTTAGAAGATTTTTATGGTTAAAGAAATACTTGCTTAATTTCTGGATTTCCATTACTTTAGTATATGTTTAAATGTTCTTACATGGCTAACATTAGCTGCATTGGCCTTCGCTAACAAAATTGTCGGTGTGTCAGGCATGACATGAATTGATGTTTTGTCTGCATCCCAGGCTTCTGTGTATAAACGCTAGGAGAGAGGAAAATACATTCCTTTAAAAAGTTTCTTTATGTGTGTCATGATCAAAAGACTGCAAATTTGAAAGCAGTAGTTATCAAAAATATATCCACAATATAAAAGTAATCTTGAAGTAGAACAAGATACATATAACCAAACTAATACATTTGTCTAAAGAAAGTCTTTTGCAAACTGCAAGTGGTAGTTCAAGCAAGATTTAAATACCCTGACATAGCAAATAATCTCACTGAACAGCTCAAGAAGGAAACTTTGTCCTTCCTCATTATTTCTCAGGCTAAGCTGGCACAGCAATTGATTGATTTAGGATTGCTGGGAAACTACTGCAGGAGGAAAACTATATTTATTATTCTGCCATATCTGTATGAGTTGTTTGATTACTTTTCTTACTAAAGAGAAGGAGTAGGTACTTTGCAACTTTCATCCTCCAGGTCTGAGATAAATTGCAGGAGCTTCACTTCCAGAGAACATAAGCTATTTCCTCATAACTTGTTCATCATGCAGTATGACAGTCAGTCAACAATACATCATTATAGCAGTTGCAGTAAAAGCCTCAATATTCTGCTACATCCTATCTTACAGCATGGTCATGCCACCACCACCTCTGGACATACCCTACTACCTTGCTGGAACATCATTTCTACAGATTTCACAGTATTGTCTAAGAACTGCAAAAAAATTTAGCCTATTGCGTCAGAGATGAGCTTTGTACAGTGAAGTAGCATTAATAAAATAGAAAAACCATACCAAACAAACATTTAAAAAAAGGGTTTCAGCTGAGATGGGAGGAAGAGAGAAATTCCCCAAAATTTTTAGTACTACTCTTGAAAAATATGTGATCTAGGTGAATTTTTTCTGGACATTTTTACTAAGTGTTCATTTCAGATAGAACCATGAGATAAAAGATTTCCTGTGCAAAGGTTGACTTGGGACATTCACTTTCTCTAAGTCCACAATGAGAGTGTTTAGTCTTACTTTGTATTTTGTATTTTTTGCCTCACAAACAAGTTCTATTAGCTAGTAATACTAGTGATTTTGTCAAAAAGAAAACTCTTACCTTGTTCATTATTTCAGCATTTTGCTTGGCTAAGACCATGGCCAAAGAATCTGTCACACTAGTAAATTTAATTTGGTCTGCTGGTTGACGATACTTCCTTTCACTCAGGATTTCTCCAGCTTTCTTGGCTTTCTCAACTTCCATGGAACCAATAGGAACCCATCCAATACCTCTTAGCCATTCCAGGTCTGATTTGTAAACAGCCTGAAAATTTTTGAAAGTTCATTATATATGTGCAAGTGTGATAAAATATTAAAATAATTATGAATAACCATATCCTAGTCTATATGAACAATTGTATATGTTTCTGCATAGCAGCAGGATATGGTTTTGAAAACAATTGTTATTTTTGAAGATTTAGTAAAATAATTATTAAATAACCATAGAGTTATTGAAGAACTCCACAAATGCCAGGGTTACACACAAATTACACCTCAAGCTGAGGACTGAGAAAAGGGGATTAAACAGAATATTTAATATTTCACCTCTATCAACATGTCTGATGCAAGCAACCAAGGCATATTACGTATCTTTTAAAAATTATATTGTACAAGACCTAGTATATTTAATTATGTATTAAAAATTTAATGATTTACTCACATCACTCTGCAGATCATAGGCCTTCTTAGCATGGATAACATCGTTCTGGTCTGGCAGACAGATCCACTGATGCAGATAGTGGCGGGGAACAATGTCACTGACCAGCTCCTGACATTTCTTGGCCAACACGATTCCCAGCATGTCCACTGGGCTACTGAAGTGTGTCTTTGTCTTCTCAAAGGCTTTCTTGTACTCCCTGTCACTCTGGATCTTGGCTACGTGCATCGACCACATCATCTTTGGATCATCCTCTATGTTCCGGGCCCCTATGTGGTGGCCAAGCTGCTTGCGATAGCCTTCTTTGTATTTATACTGAAATAAAGTATATTCATTTTCACATGGTATATTTATAAATCAATAAATAATTCACACAGTTTAATGTAATCATTAGAATTTGTTTGGAGAAAAATATGATTTAGGTCTTTCTACTGTTTTATTGATTCTCATATAAAAAAGATTTTTATTACAGATATCATTCTCTCTGATTTCTTAACTGAAAGTCTAATATAGTTAATTAACTAAACATTTAATGTCACATACTTACTAACAAGTTTGATATTCCACATTCTTTTATTATTGAGATTAAAATGTAAAGATTAACTTATTTTAAAAGCTTATTACAAAACACCTTGATGAAGATAATCTGAGTTGGTCTTAATACTAACAGTTTAAATATCAACCTCGACAGAAAAACAAGGAGCACAAAAACCTGTTATCACCATCTCTTAGTGAAGTTTCCTCATCCCAGAAGCAAAACCTTTCATAGTCATCACATATTTTTTTCTCCTGTTTTTGTATTGACATCCTGAATTTCAATATAACACTTCAACAGAACTATTTTTGCCTCAGGAAAAGACAACAATTTAGAACTTTTAGAACAGATTTACTAATATATCTATTTTGGAGAGACATTTTAAAGTATTTCTTATACTGAATCAGAAATGAATTTGACTAACTCTAGCATAGACTTGTATGCCTTAAAGATCATCCTACTTGAACATCCATGGACATTAATGGAACTATTACAAGATGCATAGACATAACGCTCTTATTATTTCATTTATTTATTATTGTCATATATACCTCAAGTGTAAAAATATTGGCTATCCATTCCTTTCAGGTACTAAAGGCATGCAGTAGAATCATGGTATTATCTGTCCTAAAAACTAAAGGTATTGATCAGCAGTGCAGAGTCTAGCTGGAAGCCTATAGCTAGTGGTGTTCCCCAGGGGT